CCCAGAAATATGTCCACCATCCTTTCTTATTGAAGAGAAGATCCAGCAACTTTAACTGAACATGCTCAGAAACATACACCTTAAACTGAGCATGTCTAACTAAGACCCCTGCAAATTAGTGATCCTTGCTCGATCATGTGTGTGTGTGTGTGTGTGTGTGTGTGTGTGTGTGTGTGTGTGTGTGTGTGTAGGCTCCCCAGTAAAATCACCAGGCTTTCCTTTTTTGGGAGAACAACAATTTGCAAATAACCCCAATGGTCTCCTTATTTGTTGCAAAGAATAAAACTTTTTCCACTCTTTAAATAAAAAGTCTTTGTAATTACTGTAATATGTTTTGAAATACTAAAGTGCTTCATAAATATAGATGTAAAGAATGATTTCATCATTATGTGTCAATAATCACTCTGTCCCACTATGTAATCAAGACAAATTTGACTCTTCTTTCTTAAGCAACGTCCTCAAGGCTCCAGTTTGCCTATTTCTGATTTGCTTTCTCCTCCAAGTCATGACCTGACATCCATTTTCATCTAATTTCACCCATGTGGACATACTATAAAGAGGGACACATATATTCTTACTGTCAGCTCTACCTTGATAGAGTCTCAATATGTTTAGCTAATATTGGCTGAGATTAAATCCATGTAAAAATCATTAGCATTAAATCAAGCCTGATGTTTGGGGTGGATGGACAGGCCTACACGGTATGTACAGGAGACTGGGCTCAGAACAATGTGAACACACCTTTCTAATTTCTCGGGTTTTTCCTGCAGTAATATAAAGGGCTTTCTTAAATCTAGGGTAGGCTCTCTTCCCACAAAGTCGAAGCTCTACCTTCCTTCATGCCCAGGATCCCTCAAAGATTTCCCTACTATATGGCTAGATGCTATCTCTTCAGTCTAAATAACGATGCCAGTAACAATGACAATCAATAAATTAGTTGATTCATGCACATTTTCTCCTTTAATGTGAAAACAATCCTGTGAAAGAGGAGATAACATTTAAACTGCGTCTTACATAGGGGGAAAGTCACCTGTGTGAGTCACACAGCCAGCAGATCCATGCCCTAACCACAGGTCCCTGTAGTGCCACAGGAATTCCAAGCATCACTTGGTTTCAATCTTCCACTGAACAAGACAGGACTGAAGACCCAGATACACTGACACAGCTCCTAAAACCCCCAACTCCATGAATACATCACAGCATTCAACACATCCACACTTCAGCCCTCCTTGGATTCCATAGCTACCTTCCCAGGGTCTCCACCTCACCATGCTCCTGTCTCCTCCTGACCCTTCTTCTGTCCCCATCCTAAGTATCAGTGTTCTGCAGAGTTCCATCCTCACCCTCCAGCCTGATGCAACTATTCCAGGCCTTCACAGACTTCTGAGAGCAGTGACAGATGGCTGTCATTCCCCTCATGTCCACTCTACTCTTTCCATTTCAGCTAACAATAATGGATGCCCATTCCTTCAACTATCCCACCACATTACTGATTTATATTCAACTCATGCTTTTTCTTTGTCTAAGACTCCAGATATCCCAAATTCTTATTTCATGTCTCCTAGACCCTCAGTACTCACCTCAAATTAACTACTTTTTTTGTACTGGGGATTGAAAACAGGGGTGCTTAACCACAGATTCAGATCTCCAGTCTATTTTAATTTTTGAGACAGGGTCTTACTAAGTTGCACAGGGCTTCACTAAGTTGCTTAGGTTGGCCTTGAACTTGTGATCCTCCTGTCTCAGCCTCCCAAGCCACAGGGATTACTTGCATGTGCCACCATGCCGGCTTCTCTATATCCCCATGTTTTCATAAAGCATTTTAGCACCTTTGCCATCTTCTTCCTAACTCACTAAATGCAGCAATTTTAGTTGAGGGAATTTTTCCAGGAGCTGCATTTCACTCTTCACCATAATCAAGGTCTGCCTGGTGAGAGGTAAGACCCAGGACCAGGCCTCAGAGTGATTTTCCTGAGCTAGTTAAATGATTATTAAATATTTTTTAAACACTCCCTGTATTTTCTTATTAATGTACAATAAATATTAAACAAGATACTCAAGTATCCATGTTAGTATGAGAAATACCCACTGAAAAATTTATAGACACACAATAAACCATCCAGATAAGGCCTTCTCTAGCTGTGACCTATTATTTATGTCTTCACCTTACTATATTCGTTGATTAACTTGTGAAGTGCAGCAGCAACCAAATAACCCTAAATATTCTTACAGCTTTATAGTATTTATGGATTTTTTTCCCAGTGAATGCAGACTATTTTACTCTTTTCTCAATGTCAAAAAGTATTAATAGATGTATTTTATCACAAAATATGAAGCAAAGTTGACAATTTCATTATCTGTCAATAAGCTATAGATAATACAGGAAGATCCTGTGATTTTGCAAAATCTGAGAACTCTGACTCTGAAACTGAATTTGAGATTAAACCTCTTTGAGAATGAATCAAAGCATATGAACAATAATGATATTTTAAGTGGTTGAATTTAATGTGTTTACCCCGCCAAATCCACTCATTTTGCTCAGTGCTTCTTAGTGTGTTTTAATTATACAAGAATGTCTAGCCCTCCTTCTGCTGATAAGAAAAGCATAAGAAAAAACTTGTAATAAAGCCAAGAAATGGATCACCTCAGTGGACAGGATACCCATGGTCCCTCTTGTGCTAAGCTAGCATACCAAGCAGACATGTCTTTAGTTAGGAAAATACTTTCAATGCAATGAAAAAGGCAGCAACTATAACAAAACTAGCACCATGTGCTGGGCTCAGGTACCAACCTCCGTTGCTCCTCGCCATGTTCTCCTGAAGGGACAGTGAGACATTCGTCCATGTGTCCGTGCAGCAACCTGAGGACATCACCACCAATCAGATACCCTGGAATGAATAAAAGTCATTTGTGACTGGAGCTGATAGCCAGACATTCCATTTGGTCCAAACTTCTACTTTCATAGAGAAACACAAGTCTAGTGAGGCCAAGGTCACAGAAGTGGACAGTGCTGGCTAACTTCTGAGTCCCAGTTGGTAACATTCCCCATCAGGATACATGACCACATTACACACATGAATATGTTACCACGGCACATGTGAACCTATGTAAGTGGGAATAAACCAAATGAACGAAGGCATGGCCCTTGGAAATCCTGCTGCAGAACACCATGGTTTTGCAGCTCTAAGGCCTGAGCCTGGAAGATGAGGAATGTCAATGTGTGCCAACTGAGCAATACCCTGAGGCCAAAACATTAGAGGACACAACTCTTATAAACCTAGCAAATGAAACCACATTAATGAGCTAAAGTTGACAACAGCATAAATAACAAGCAAAGAGAAACCTTAATGTAAGCTTCACTTTTAAACAGCAGCTTAAACAAGATTCTCAATGTCCAATATCTGCTTGAGAGACTATTTGGACACAAAAGAACTCTAATGACAACTCATTAAGCGATTCCGCAAAGATGAGCCCTCTAGCAGAAGTGGAGTTCTTACCTTGGGCTGCTTCACTTCCTGAGCTGATGGGCGCCACGCTCCACAGGGTCTGCTGGAAGGCTGCATCCACATGCAGGCTGCCATTGCCGTAAGACAAGTGCTGCAGCAAGAGGCAAGAGGGGCACAGCTGTCAGTCCCAGCGTGTCATGCTCTGTCAGTGCTAACTGGACACTGCAGGCTGGGAAACGTCCACAGACGGCGTCTACTCAACTCAAAAATTCAAAGACTAGTAGGAGAAACAATAGTAATGGTTTCTATTTGACTTTAGGTATTTTTCAACTTTATGCTAAGAGGTATTAACTTAAACCAGTAATCAGAAACTGCACAAATAATAAATACACCAGGTAAATTTATTTATACAAAGAAACAATTTTTGTATTAAGGCTTGTTAATGGAAAAAAATGGTGTAGAAGATGGGAAATTTAAAAGTATAATTAAGTTTTCTCCATATCACACAGCAATAGTTCATCATTGTTGGCGAGATAGGTGAAATAGGCAGAACCAAATTGGGCATTTGTTTATATCCTTTAGGAACTGTTATCTGCAATTTGATACATCAGCCATTAGATGGCAATATTTCTTAATCAGGATCTGAAATTAGGATAATGAATTTCCTCCAAAACTCAGATGTTACAAATTTGAGATTTTCATTCTTAAAAATACAAATGTATTTAAATAATGACATTTAATATATTGAGACATAAGATATGAGTTACAAAATGTTAACTGAGAGAAACAAAATTATGAGTATAGCCAAATGTCTTGCTTATTTTACTACACTACCCAACTGCCTGTAGAATTTCAAAACTACATGAAACCACCACTTTTGACTTGGAGTCTTCTCGGCAACACCACCAGTACCCCTGCAATATTTCTGCAACACGTTCCCAACCCTGGTGACAGCCAAAGCATTTAGAGAATCTACTCACACCAGTGATTTCCCAGGAACCTGACCATCCCAGAGAGATAAAGGTCAATCACAGACTGCAGGAGCCAACCGAAGTGTGCTCCACAGGCTTGCCAACACCCTAAAGGCCTCCTTGTTCTAAATATGGACATGCAGGTCCTCATCAAGAACATGTCCCTTGTTCTCTTTCTCCTAAAACCCAAGAAACTTCTGACAGGGTGACTTGTCCACTTAGCTCATCAGCAGTTTTTCCAGCTGATAAGATTAAAAGCCTCCCAGGGGAGATGTCAGATTTAGCAGGCATGTACTCTTAGCCCTGTCCTTAGCCTTCCCTGGCTGCCTTGCTTCTGCACAACCTCCCCATCACCTCAGGCTGTTCATTCTGACCCGCAGCCCAGCTGGGACTCCTTCACTAATTCAGTTTCTTCTCCAATATGTTAAATCCTTTCACTGTTATGAATAAATCAAAGTCTATCTGCTTCCACAAGCAAGTAAAATATATTTTCCTTTACAGCAATTATCACACAATGTAATTATCTGGTTTTCTCTCTCTTGTAATCTGACAGAGATTCATAACCTAATCCATAGCCATCCTCAGTGTTAATTAATAAACCAGTACATGGAGACACCAATCCACCTTTTAAAATTAAAACAGCATACATTTTTCTTGAAAACATATTCTAAGTAATTCCATAAATATTCCTATTTCAATGACTTAGTCAAAAAGCACACACACTATATAAATATGTATACTCACATATATACATTATAATATATAGAAGATGAAAATCTCTGGGATCTCATCTGAAAATAATTCAGAATACTAATGCTTACGTTTTATTTTGGTGAGATAAAACTGCAAGAGTGGAAGCTCAGTCAATATGAAGAGTAGATAATTATTTGTTGAATCATCTTGGATTTGTCGAATGTACTGTGTACAAAACATCAAGCTAAATATCAATAGAATGCATTCTGTACCCTGAGGATGCTTGTACTCTTGTAGGTACATTCAGACAATGCTGTGCATTCAGACAATGCTGTGGGAACTTCAACCACAACACTGCAGGAACTGTAAGAGCTCTGGGGACACTGTGGAGAGAGTTGCTGTGCTGGGCCTGCAGGGATGGATGGCCTTCCACAGGTGGAGGGGGGCACCCTCGGGGTGGAAGCTCTGAGGGAACACAAGGAAATCACTGGCCTGGGCCTCCCGTTTTGGAGACAAAATCTCTAGATAAGTTTATCCATATGTTGGATTTAGACATGAATAACAATAATGTTCAAGTGCTAAGTGAAAATACTTAAAACATACCAAAATTTCTGTAAATCAGGGATTTTCATTTTTAATGTACTAGAAACCTTGACATTGGCAGAAGGGTAGGGCCCTGGTCAGTGAGAAACTCTGCCAAGGCCCCCAGTGGGCAGAGGCAAAGGAGCATGGGGTCCGGCAGAGACCCCTCCCTGCTTACAGCTCACACTGAGAGATGCAGCTATCAAAGGGCCTGTGCACAGAAGCTGTCACAATGCCAAGGACTTTCTGTTTAGGTGCTGAGGAGCTGCTGCACTGAGAAACAGTGAGGGTGGAGAAGCTGGAAGGTAATGTCTAAGGCACACCTGAGACAACATGAGAGGAAGATAAAACACAAGCATCAGTGCACTCGAGTCCTCAGCACGCCCTTAGGGTCTACTACAGTCATATGAAGTGATCTAAAAAATGTGCACTCTTTGAAAGAAAATATTCTCTGGGCATAGCAACTCTGGATGCTTCTATTTAATTTTGCTGCTTATATAGTGAAGGGAAATCTGAGTATGAACAGCATCAAGTCAGCCATGGTATTGAATATTCAAAATTCAGTAACAGTTTCAGTTACCAAAAGAAAGATGAGTTGTCTTTAAAGCAAAAATAGATGTGAGTAGAAAGTAAAAGCAGCCTTTCGCTGAAAAATACAACTACCATAGAATTTACACAATACTCTGGCAGTACAATCCACACATCAGGATGTGGGCACTCATCTCACCTTTAACCTAAAATTGAGTGATTTTCAAGCTTTAAAATGCACACCCAGCATCTGTGGATACTGTCCACAAACACAGGCTCAGATTCAGTGGGAGGAGGATGAGGTCAATCAAGACCACAGGTCCAAAGACTATGTTTGGGGCACACGATCTCAGAAACAGAAGTGACATTACAAATCCCCTCTCAGGATTCATATCCTAAAGCTCACTAAACCATACTTCAGTATTTTTAGTTTCTTTTGTAGCCCTATATATTTATTCTATGCTTTTTAATAAATTATTATGACAAGAAGTCATAAAGCTTTCAGACTGCCAGAGGCACCCATGGCCCCAGAATTTTTAGGAACTCCAAATTCAACCCTTAGCTGATGCAATTGTACATTCCTTTGTTTATCTCTTAGTACATATCAGGCACTTGGGCCTTGGTGATCCAGCATTCAGAATAAATCATCATCAAGGGACAGAAAACACAGTAAATAAATCTTAACCCTCAGGCTTCAGTTTGTTCCTCTGAAAAACAAACAAATCATGGGCATTTAAAAAAGGTGCAATTGCTAGTTGTAATATTCTATGACTCTATTACCTGAGCCCACAAGGATATTTTTTTTTTAAGGCTCAGTAAATTCATCAGAATGGCATTATAGAGCCTGAGAGCGCAGCTTGGTAGTACACATGTGGTGAGTAGGCACAGAGCGGAGTAGTTTCTACCATTCAGCTGAACTTGAAAATATTTAGAATCACTGTTTTATCCTCAGTTTGATGCTATTTGAGGCAATTTATTGTGCAGTTAAAACACTTTTGCATTTGTTATCAAAAATCTTCTAAGGTGAGTAGGAGAGAATTTTGTGAACCCTAAAATAGCATTCCCTGAACCAAAGTCTTAATTTCCCTCACTCTTTAGGTTGGAGGGTTGTGCTTTTCTTAATTTCCACTTAGTCATTTGGCAATGTAAAAACTGTGTATGTCTACAGATGCCCTTATTAACAGAAAATTGATAAGAATCATCATTTCCAATGCAAACAAGCCAGTCCATAAACTGGGATCTTTGGTGCACACCAGGGTGATTTTACATCTAACACAGATATAAATGTTTTATATGCTGTATCTTATTTTATTCAGTTGGGAATGGGATTCACCATTAGTAATAGCTACTTGCCCTGCTTTCATCTAGCTGTGCATTTCTCTCATACCTTAGCTGCTTCACTAAAGTCTTCTTTAAAAGAAGACAAAATTTCCAATAGGGGCAAAGAATATCTTTCCTTTTAGATATTCCTGAAAAGAGGGTTAAGATATCATTTCATATCAGAATATAAAACAGCAGAAGATGAGAAAGGGCATGATTGGGGTGAGTAGTTACAACCATTCTTAGAGATAAGATGCTTTATTTCAGGGAAAACATGTTTCACTGCCCACTTCATAAAGCGTATGTGCCTCCTTCCATGCACAAAGCACCTTCAAAGAAGGTGGGGTGAAAATCAGCCTTCTGAATCATTTTGATCAACTTGGCATTCCAGCAGCTGTGAGCCTTGCTGTGGAGTGTTCCACGCACAGCAGTGCTGGATGGGGTAACCTCGGGTTAGCCACCAGGGATAGTGTGGGCAACAGCTCCTGGGTCAACAGACACCAGCGACTGAACAGCTGTCAGGTCAACAGTGAGACAAGTTTCTTTTATATAGTTTTAACTAATTTGTGTTTGGGCACAAATTTTATTTTTAGCCACACCAGCATCTTCTCAGAATATTGCTTTCACACAACAGATCTTTATTCAAAACCACCTATTTCATTCCCTGCTCTCCTCCTTTCCCAACTCTCTTATTCTGATTCAACACATGAGTTTCTTTAACCATTCTCCATGGGCACAAATCTCCCAGGTAAGGATGACAGTCACATGCTATGCCAGTGCAGGGGCCTGGCTTGGATTTAAGCATCTCATCCTCGTAACACCTTGACATGCTGAACTCGTTTTCCCAACAGCCCCAATGCAGAAACTTCTTAGTTACGTAGTTGGTCCAGCCTCAGACTCACCAGACTATGAATAAAACAACAAGAACAAAACCCTACATATGTATGTGCACATACACACATGCACACATGTTATCTGGTGTTCTCTGTGTGGATGGTCCCACAGATTCCTGACTTACTTCAGAGTCCTTTCACTACCTTATCATTTGCCCCTTCTTGTTTCTGAATCTTCCCACCAAGTCCACCATAAAAGCCCTTCAACCCACCACCCAGGTACTCTATGGACACAGTACTAATTGATTTGAGATGAAACAGCAGCACACTGAGACCCTGGGACTGCCTGCAGCACCCTTAACCTGCCTGATCACATGCCTGTGCACCTCCAGAGATGTGGTTTATGGTGTAGTTTGGACCTTAAACGCCCAGCAAAGGCTTGTGTATTGAAGGCTTGGTCCCCAGCTGATGGCACTATTGGGAGGTGGTAGTGGATCATTGAGGAGGCAGGGCCCAGAGGGAGAAAACCACTGAATCCTGTTACTTGATTTTCAGAAGGACTTTGGGCTGGTAATGTGAAAGCTGCACTACCAAGATTTAAAAGAAAAAAAAAATCTCCCAGTACATTTATGGGATGTTGATGTTTAAAAAAACGACACAAAGTGTTATTACCTAAAGTCTTCCCATCCCATACCCTTCATTGCCTTATGTTATCTTGTCACTGGGGGCTCGTCCCCGAAAGGGACGTTGGGACTCCAGCCCCCTTCTCTTTGCTTCCCAGCCACATGAAGCAAGCAGGCTGGCTCCAACATAATCCTTTCATGATATGTGCCTCACACAGGCCCCAAATTATGAAGCAACTGAAGATGAAAGTCTCTGACACCATGGACCACAGTACACCTTTCCTTTGCTGAAGTGGCTTATGTCGGGTGTTTTGTCACAGTGGTGGGAAGCTGACACAGTTTGCAGCCCCCACTAAGTCTCTTGAGGGCAGACTTGGTGCATCACGGGTCCACAGTCTCTCCTGTTGTTTCTGCTATTGCTAGGTCCCCACATACATGAACAATTAAAGTGCAGACTTTATTACCAAATGAGAGGGACATTTTAACAACCTGGTTGGATACACTTTTGTAGCTCTTTTTAAAAGTTAAAGCTGGAAACTTAAATAATTAGCTAAACTGTAGTTTGGAAATTGTTTGTTCATTTTAACTACTACAAGGTTCATTTATTTCCAAAGTTAACAGGAGGTAAACCTCATATCTCAGACATGGTCATTACTATTGCTATTATTTGAACAGTGCTTATTAATTCAAATTATATTCAAATTCATTATCTCACTGCCTCTTCTCAAGAACCTTGGCTCTACATTCTGTTATTACCAACAACTTCACTTTACAAGCGAGAAAGCTGGTATTCATGGAGTTACATGACTTGCTCAGGTAGTTAGCTGCAGAACTGACATTAGAAGCTCTAGCCTCTGTGAGGTTCTGAATTTTCCACTCCTTTGGTGAATAATACCCTGTCAAATAAATTCTGTTATATAGTGAAAATACAAGTGGTACAACAACAAAAAATATAGAATAACATCAAAGTTTAAAATGTAGAATTTGTATACTGAAAAGCCCATGAATTATATCTACCGCATGAATTATATCCAAAGACAACTCCAAATCAACTGCACATCTCCTGAGCAAATGTGTCACTCTGCAGCACACACATGCACATAGCAAGGGCTTGATAGAAGCTTATTTTACAAGCTGCACATTTGCACTGTTCCAGGAATTGGCATGGTGACTGTTTCCATCCATATCAGCTACAGCAAACAAGTGGAGAAATGTTCAGGCCTCCCCCAGCTATGAACCAGCAGGTACTACTTTTAATTTAATAGTCCCTGCCAGTGACTGCACACTGTCAATAACTCACCACACAGAGGAATGGGCTTGTTCATTACCAATTTCCCCAGATAATTGGCAGTATAAACCCTAAAGTGACCATTTCATGTGCTGTCCTTTACCACAGCACCAAGCCCCCAGTCCTACTGTCCATACTTACCAAGTACCGCTCAGAGGACACACTAACTAGGATGAGGTCATCTCCAACCCGTACTTTTTCTCCTTCTGATCGCTGCTTCGAGGCTGGATGTATAGTCCACCAACAGGCCTCACCTGCAGAGTGAAAGGAGAGTGAAACACAGAGAAGGGTCTTTTAACTTAAAATCTGTTTTCTTTGCCAGTGATTCCATTAGCACGACTTTCAGAAATGTAAAATTTCATGCAAATTTCTCTCTTAGACCATGAAAATCTAACAAACTTAGCCAAATTAGCTTAGGATAAGACATACTAAAATGCAAAGTTTCTTCCAATAGAAACTTGATGTGACATTTTGGGAAGATTTTAGTCTACCCCTTCCCCCACTAAGAACTATTTAAGGATATTTATATAAGTTCACATAAGACCAAATTCAGCAGCCACCCAGTTCTGAATTCACTCTATGCAATCGCACACCATTATCCTGTTCACATAGCTCTTCTATAATAACACCTAGCTTGGTGTCACTTTAGTTTCAGAAGGACTTTATGATTTGACAGTTTCCATTATGGTGATTTTTTTTATTTTTAAATCTCCCAGGACTTTGAGATGCTGATTCAAAAAGGGATGCCAAGTATTGTCACCTAAAATCTTACTGTTCCAACCCCATTTTTGCCTTTGTTATTTTAAAATGTAGTTTGTATTAATCTCATAGTAAAGTAAAAGAGAATCCTAGTACATAAGAATACATTGCAAAAAGACTTGGCTACACATTAAATCAAATCATATCTTCTAAAAAAGTCCAGCATAACCATGGACCACATGTCCATTTATCATTCTTCAGCCCCTCTGCTGATGTAGGGATGTAGGCACACCATCCTTCAGTCTGTCCAGACCTGAAGATAGGTTCTCTCCAAAGTGGCAACAGAGTTCTAATGATATCTATTAGCTAGTAATTATGCTTCTCTCCCCTTCCACAGCTTTATTATTTTTCTATAAACATATTTCCTCTTCCTAACTTACTGATGCCAGAATGCAAGGTCCCTAACAGCAGGAATTCCACATGTTTTTTTTTTTTTCCCCCACTGCGGTCTTCCCAGCTCCAAGTAGCATACACTATAGGCACTCAGTAAAAGTTAATTTTGCATGAAGTAATAAACGAGTAATCCAATAATATTTCTTAAGCATCCTATAGTCAATATGTAGCCTGGGCCTTGTGCTGCTTTTCTTACACAAACCAGTCTTATTTGCAGGTCACTACCCAGCAGAATGCCTTATCTTCATTCACCAAATCCACTTTTTTAGAACTGTAGATAGTTTTTCACTCACTCTCACAAGCATTTATAGGGTACCCACTGTTTGCCAATTACTGCTTCACAGTAGCCTGAGAAACATTAGTAAACAAGAAAAAAAATCACCTGCCTTGTAGGTTTAATTATGATGAAGGAAAGCAGAAAACTAATGATGAATACGATAAATAATTCAGCAATTCAGAAGAAGTAGAGCCATGGGTAGGGGAGAATATTATAAGGGATCAAACTTAGGCAGAGGGACTGACTTTTTCTGTCATCCTCTTATCTCAGTGTAGGAACACAAGTTCTAGAACCCGTCTTGAAGTCTTCTGAAGAGCAAATTTGACTTTCTTTTTCATTTAACAGTGTGCTAAAATACACTAAATGAGAAAACTAAAACCCTAGCAAAAATGTGGAATTACTGAGCCTATAGAAAATGAAAAATCAGAATGCCTGGGATTCTCAGACTTTCTTAGTTTATAAATATAGTTTTTATATGTTTGTTGTTTATTAAACTAGAGAATGTGAGAAAGTATTTTAAATTTATAGCTGATACGTAAAAGGTAAAAACTGAACATGTTAATAAAGTGTCATGTGATGTTTTGATACATGCAAACAAGGTACAATGTTCAAATCAGATACTTACCTTCTCAAACATTTCTCGTTTGTTTATGATAAAAACACATGGGCTCTTTCCTTCTAGCTTGTTGAAATATATAGTAAGTAACTGTTATGAATACTCACCCTACTGTGGCACAGCATTCCAGAAAATGTTTGCTGTTGCTCTGCTTTGTTTATTCCTGCAGTGCAGGGACTGGACCCAGGGCCTTTTGCACACTGGGCAAGTGCTCTATCATGGAGCTACACCCACAACTCACCAGAAAGATTTCTGGAAGGGGTGTGGGGATGGGCTGATCCCTTCCCTGAAAGGAACAAAGTTGAACTACCTCCTTCTGTTCTTTTTCAACTTGGTCTCATTTATTTTTAACTCCCAAAGTCATGCATACTCTTTGTGAAAGATAAAAGAGTCAAACTGTACAGAGGCTTATAAAATAAGTGTAAAGTCCTCAGAGAACTGAGAACGGTTCTCTTTTTTTTGACTTTCCAAAAGGATAAATGTGTTAATATATACTTTGTTTCAAAATATGGAAATGTACATGTCCCTAGACAGACATGCAGCACAATGCCCTGTGGGCAGAGCAATGAAGGAGATTTTTATTTTCTTCTTGTTTGAGTGTTGAGATTCAATAGCTTACATGTGTATACCTAAAATATGTTTGAGCTGAGAGACATGCGGCGATACTTCATAAACTAAATAGTGCATTTTAGGACAGTTCACGCCCAGTAAATTGGATAGTAAATACTAGTTTTTCTCTCCAAACTCACAGAATAGGGTTTGAAAGCCAGTTTGAATATCCAACTAATTACATGGGAATTACCAATAGGAAAAATATATACTTCCTCCCTCTACCAAAAACGTCAAGTAGGAAAGCACTTTTTTCTGACTCTACCCACGAAAGCACTGGTCTGATGCAACTTCCAGGGTGTCTCGTAGCATCTTCCAACCCAGCCCAGCTCTCACCGTCCCCAAGGCCCTCACCTGTGGTGTCCTCCTGCAGGCCAACGTCAAAAGCCAGCTTATCAGTTGAAGACCTCGAGGTGGAGAGGCAGCACAGATACTAAAACACAGAACCAGGAGTTGTCTGTCACTCAACATTGACAGTCACAGTGGAGTCCTGTTCTGACAAGTGATTTGATATGTGTCTGTCTCTGCTGATGAGCCTTTTTCTAAAAATTTGGATGCTTCTGCACAAAGCGCAGGCTTTTAAATAAATGTCTGAGACAGAACAGCCCTAGCACAGCATTCATTAGGAGCAATACTCTAAAGGAAATGTGGTCTTCTCTCCCTCATAAAGACTAAGGAAATGTGCTCTGTCAGAACAAGAAGACAAGTGGCTAGGGATGTGTTTGTACATCTCTCACTTCATGTGATATTCATGATCCCCAGCAAGAGCACAACGTGATCTGACAGCGAGAACCCTCTCCCCAGAAGAAACTGGAAAACTACTTTTATCTTCTAGTTCTCTTTTCTCCTCCATTTTTTTTTAAACTCTCCGAAATCCATCCAGAATTGACTTTGGCATGCATCATGTAGGCTTTACTAAAATGAAGTCTGATCGTGCATGTAAGTGTGTGTGTTTCCTTAGGAATAATGGAATACTCTCCATACTATCATCGGCCCCCAACCTTAGGTTTTCCTAACTATATGTTCGTAGACATAAAAGTTTAGGATCATTTTTCAGGCTAACTCCCCTATCCCCACACTCCAACTTCAAACACCTTGTTAAGTGCTATAAGAATGCGGACACAAAGATGAACGTGGCATGAGCTTAAAGTACACCACCATCTGCACGAAGCAGGCTCACTGCCAACAACAACAGAAGCCTGCAAAGAGTATCCAGACACAATTCTGGGGATTGAGAAAGCCCAGGCCACTCTCCAGAAGCTCTGGACAATTAATGCAAAGGCTATAAAATTCCTATTAGGGAACAGGGCCCATCCAGCTAAATGGCGCCCAGTGAGTGTGTACAGGCAGGAGATGAACTGATTGGGAGAAGTCAGCACCATAGGGATGGGGCATCAACTTGACCTGGAGACTATGACTTGGCCTCTCAACTATGAAGCACTGGCTCTCGTGGTTACAGAAGTTTCAAGGGTCCCCAAAACCTGTACTGGGTCAATACAGGATTGAGAGTCTAACCTGGAGACAGGCAGCTCACAGTGGTCCCTAAAGTTCACAGACTCAGATATAAACTGTGTGAAATGTCTGTTTTTATTATAGAAAAAATAACAACTTTACAATACACAGACATCCCAGACAAACAAGGCGATGCCTATGAAAGTTTTCTGTGATTTTCCTCAGCAACATCATAGTCCTCAGCACTGCAGTTACTAACAGACACACTGTCTTCCAAGCTTCACGGGAACACTGAGGAAGATGCTATAATTAACCTACTAACTTCACGAAGTTCCATGGAGGCATGGAGAGTAGTGCCTAGCACAGAGATGATCAAGCAAATTTATGAAATTTTCAGATGCAATTAGAACTTTAAGAGGCCCAGAAAAGCATCCCAGGCTGTGAGATGGCCAAGTGCAGTTGACCCCAGATCTCAGCACTGACAAACTGAGTAAACTCAACTCTGATATGCTGTTAATTCTGAAATGCAAAGTCTTCTTAAAACATTTATTATTTCACAGTGTGCATTTTGATTGCTCCTGAAGGTGGAGTGCTTCCCACAACATTTAAACATGTGAGCACTCTCCACCAATGAGTCATTTCTGTATGGGTGCCTCGTCTCCAGCCTCGCTGTCAAACTGTACCACTGTATTCTGTATCTCACAGGTCAAGCGGGGACTTCAAGAATAGTGCCAGGCAGCAACGACTAACAGGATAGATTCCTGCTTTTATTTGCTGGTTTTAGACAATTTTATCAAGAATGGCTTCAGAGTTTCATTGATTTGATAATGATATTTGTTATTGAGGAAATAATTGTCAGTGCTGACTTTTCGTTAGGAACGAATAAAAGGTTTTATTACCTTTATCAGCACTTGTTGAGATTTTATTTGACCTTTTTATGTGATGTAACACAATAATTAAAATGATATTAGTAAATCATCATTAATATCACACTTATACTTTTCCTACACCTCTCTCTCTAGACATTTAAAAACAGGTTACTGCATCGACATCCATGACTGAAATCAACAGTGTGTGTGTTTGCTGAATCTTGACTTTGAGGCAATATTTACTCTCCTGCAGAAGAAAAATTCACACAATATGGAATTATCTCCTTTTTTTAAGGGAATGATTTATTTTATATGTCCAGATTTTGGACTATTGTATAACCACTAAAATTATACTGATGAAAAACTTAAACAACATGGAAATTTTCTTTTTATGATAACAGATAAAAAGTCAAAATATAAATTTATAGAGTAAAACACCAATTAGGTAAAAAATATTTTAAAAACTGAAAAAACTAAAATGTCTTTAAAATCACCAACAGTTTTCTCTTAGTATAATCAAAAGAATTATTTTGCAACTTAAAAATATTATAGAATATTTGGGCTGGGGATGTGGCTCCAAGCGGTAGTGCACTCGCCTGGCATGCGTGCAGCCCGGGTTTGATCCTCAGCACCACATACAAAAAAAAGGTGTTGTGTCCGCCGAAAACTAAAAAAAAATAAATAAATAAGTAAATATTAAAATTCTCTCTCTCTCTCCCTCCTTCTCTTTAAAAAAATATTATAGAATAAATATGTATTGCTTTCATAATTTAATAAAGCTTTATAATGAATGAGATGAAGCTTTTATAAATTGTACATGTCTACATAAATCATTTATAAAGTACACAAAAACAAATATATATACACACATATATGGATATAAATGTGTGTGTACATGTGTGTGTGTATGTATGTGTACATGGCACATGCCTATAGTCCCAGCAACTGGGGAGGCTGAGGCAAAAGGATTGCAAGTTTGAGGGAAGCCTGGGCAACACAGAAAGAACCTGTCTCAAAAAGTACTGGGATGTATTTCAATAGTAAAAGCTCCTGAAGTCAATACCCAGAGCCAATATACATGTGTATGCTTGCATTCATGTGTTACTTCAATGCAGAGAAAATAGAAAGTGAGAATTCTGTGCCTCACAGGTGTCTAATGGAAAGCTGGTTTAAAGAAGGAGCTGATGTGGAAAAAGAACACGGAGTCAAGAAAGAAAAGTAGTTTGTGGATAGACCCTGACATAGGAGTTCACAGATGGCATTTTTATCTTATCTTCTAAATGCGTATTTTAATCCTTTCATAAAGAAAAGGGACATATTTCTTATTTGGTTCTTAGAGTGTTCTCCTCCTAAAACTATCAAAAGTGAGATATTAGAGATAGGAGTCCTATAAAGATAGAACAGAGGGAGCTTGAAGGCCATCTAAGCTAACCTTCACATTATCAATGAGAAAAGAAAAATGGTACAAAGATACTAAAGAGGGTATACATCCAAGCTCACTAATACCATGGCTGAAGGGTGTTACCAACATTTCCTGGCTCTGCATCCCAGCTGCACAGACCGGACCATGTGAAGGTGAAATCAAGCAGTCCACTCACCATGCCGCTGTAGGAATGGCGCAGCAGGATGGCATGCCCATAGAGGAGTGTCCTGTGGCCACCACCTTGAGCAGTCTGCATGGGAGAAGGAAGGGAGAGAAGAGAAACACACCGATCAGCAGACCTAACTAATACAAAGCTCTTGCTCTTCTGATACCAAGAGAAAGACAGTAGGAAAGATCAGAGTAAAAATGCAAAGTGCTATGGAAATATTTCTTAAACCTCTTAAACCGTAGAGGAAGCCTCTACAGCAGGCGGCACTTGCTCTGGCTCTTGAAGGGTCAACATGAGTCCAGTACCAAACCCTGCTCGTTCACAGAACACTGATCTCCATTTCTCATGAAGCTGTGATCCCTAATGGGCAGTGCCTTGCTTAGTGCCCAACACACCATGAGAACCTAGTGTAGTTTAAGCACGAATCTTCCCAAGACTCAGGGCTCCTCTCGTCACCCCAGCCTCAACACTTCTCATCCCTACAATGGCTCATAGGAAGAAGTCCAATTCTTACCTATGAAATAAAAGAGCACTTCTCAAATCTCAGCCTCTTGGAGGGCTCAGGGAACTCGGGCCCCTGGGCCTTACCCTGACATTCTGATTCAGGGGGTCTGGAGCCACCACAGATGCATTTCAAGCCTATCAATGGTGTTGATGCTGTTGGTCCAGGACAAGCAGAGAACCCTTAGCATTACTCCTTTAGGTCTCAGCCCCAATTACCCTGTTCTTGAACACACCTGAATCCCCTCCCCTCCATGCTACTCTGTTCTGGGACAGAGCCTTCCCTCTTCCCAGCCTCTTCTGAGCTATGCATTTAGACTTGAGTTAGAGGCTACCTACTACATAAAACCTTAACCTCTTTCTGCAAAGTGAGCCCCTCCCTTTGTCCTCCTGCAGGTTGAGCCTCATTGGTCTGCTCTGCAAATACCTTCCTCCCCTTGACCAGAGTGAACTCCTCAAGGAAAATGACCTCATTTCACCCACAGTTGCCAGCAAAATGTAAGGCTGCAGTAAGCGCTCAACAGACACCTGTTGAATAAAAACTGGATGCAAGAAGCCCCATTTCAGGCTCCATGAGGAGTGGGCAGAAGGGCACCCTGGCACAAAATGATTATAATGGTCTGGAGGAGCATGAATCTTCCCCCAAATGAGGAGGGATCATGGGTTTGCAGTGGGAAACAAAGAAATTTGAAAGGAGATCAGGGTGAGATCACAGAAGGTATAGACTTGCGTGTCAAGAAGTACATATTCCTTTCTGAGGGAGTCTGTAAGGACTTGAAGGACAAGAGTAATGATACTGACTGTACTATAAGTAGTATAGGAGAAAGGATCCAATACCCCATTCTTTTATTCCTTATTTTCAAAAAATATATCCCCTCCCTTTTGTTCCAAATAATCCCTTAAAAATCATGTTATGCCTGAAAAACCCAAAACCATTCTCAAAACAGATGTTAGCAGATATTTAGTAGTCAAAAGGAGAAATCTACTTTGAAAATTATACTCCTTTTCAGAATGAGGCTGTCTTGAGAGTGTACTTATTTTTTTCTGTAATACATTTGTAATACATTGTGGCCGGGAGCAAATTTTTTCACACTAATATTATATATAGTCTACTACTAGTTTCTCCAGTAAGTAGTATTACACAAAAGAAATGCTCTTTCCTGCTCATTCAAAGAAAAAAAAATTTACAGGGTGTATGCTCTAGGAGAGGTTTAGGTTCTGGTGTCAAAAAGCTATTTCATAACAAGCCCCCAGTCTCCTTTCCTTTGCCTTGCAAATCAAAGTTTTCTTAGAAAACTCAAATTACTCATTTATCAATTATTATTTACACAATCCCCTGCAATCGCCTTCAAAAGACTTGCACACTAGCAGTAAAAAGAAAGAAGCAAAAGAGCCTGACTGTATCGTGTGTGTATGTCTTAGCTCCCCCACTGTAAGGCAGGTTAAGCCCTCTTAGCGCAAGTATTATCTGGAATTACATGTCTTTAGAGCACTTTTTCAAAACTGTCAGAGGCCCTCTCTGTTCCCCAAGACGCTACTGGGTGCTTACAGCACCTGGATTCCCCCCTGTATCAGTAATAGCTAGTGAGCTACCACCAGCCTTCTCCCTGACCCTCCAGAAAGCCAGGAGCCTGCTGTCAGCTCTGGGGGAATCTGATGAGGCTGTTGTTCTCTTGGTGAAGGGAATGCTACTACCATTTCCAAACACCTCCCAGTATTTCTGGCATAGGAGAGGCAAGCATCATTTCAAAAAGTAGTAAATAAAATTTAACTTTTTAAAAACATCAGTTTTCAGCAAAAATTGGCTTTTCTGGCTTATGTGTATGTTTGGTCTCATGTCCCCCGAGATGATCAATGGTGTTAATATAAAACTTTCAAACAAAGTCTAAGCAACATTGCTGTACGTATCCTAAACAAATCTTGCCTCAAATTCTTCACAAGTTATTTTAATACCCACTTTGTGTTTTCTGGCATTCCTATACTTTGATTCACAGATTCTTGTCCAAAATGTCCAATCAGGTAATGGAATGTGACGATCCTTATTATCCAAAGTATAGGTATGAAGACATGAATTGGTGTGAATATACTGTGTATACAACCAGAGATTTGAAAAATTGTGCTCTATATGTGTAATAAGAATTGTGATGCATTCCACTGTCATATATAAACACTAAAAAATAAAAATGAATAAATTATACATTCATTTTCTATTCTTGTAAAAGGTTAAAAAATTAGCATGGATATTTAACTTTAAATTAACTAATTATGTGTAAAATGGATTAATTATCATCTGCCTTTTCCAAAATACATGAATCTTACATTGGAAAAGAAAAACGTCCAATCAGGGAACCATCATTGTAAGTAAAAGCTTTGATGTAAATACTCCTACATGGACATTTATTTAGAGTAACAATCAATCATGGACCATAATTTACTTGTCTATTGTTATTCTTTGTTGAGAGGGAGACAATTTGGGTTGTTGTAGCAACATTTGAGGTATTGCACCAGGGCAGAACCATAAAACAAGAATAATAATGATGGAGATGCACCAAAGAGATTTATACACACATGAAAATCACTGACTCAGTGTTTCATTCTTTCATAATTGGGGAACTTGGCTCAGTACTGTTTAAATGTTTGTGATATATACCAGCTTATAAACCTCTTGAATTATTTTTTATTAAAGCCATTTATTTCATTAACAATATAACATGTCATCATTTTAAGATTTTCTGTTTTTGTGACCATATTGCTTGTACAAAAATGCTATGCTAATCAATGAAGGACATTTGTCAAAATTCCAGGTCCTTACTATATAAATTTTTAAAAAATAAGTCAGAGTCTGCAGGAGAACTTTCCCATGGCCTTGACATCTATGATGTCACATGCCGTTTTAGAAGTTCAACACTAGAATCTAAAAAGGAGTTTACTTACTTCAAGCAATAAGGAGACATATCCTCAATATTAGAAATTATAGACAATAAAAGAAACGTATAGTAATAGGAGCCCTTTCAGAGTGCTTAGATCCCAAATGAAGGTGCTTTTAAGTGTACCTTTAAATACAAATAGCAATGCTTGGAAAATGGAAAAGTTAGTAATTCTAGGGAGAATAACAGAAATATATCTCAGAGGAGGGTGGGTCCCCAGCGGCAGGAGACTCTCAAACAATTCTGCCACCCTTAAGCAGTCAATCAATTGTAACAATTAATGAGAAATGGGGCTTCACGACAAAACCGAACTACCCAATGAAGCTAGGTGACCACCAGCAGGATGGCCATGCGGCACTGAAGAGCTCGTCTTGCGCTGGCTGGTGTCCTTCACTTGAGTTTCCAAGGGAGGAGACCAAGCTTAGGGCAGGACCGACACCTCTCTGTTCAGCACCAACAATCAGGAAGGGGATCTGACAAGAAAGCATCCAGCTGGTTCTGAGCAGCTCAACCACACCTTCCAGGTGTGGGTCTCAAAGCGCACATGGTGTGAGCAGAAGAACACTTGGTGCCCTCTCCTGCCAAGTGGCTCCAATCACTCCAGTTGCATGCAGGTGCCTCTCCTGGTCAATTCCTGACCTTTCCAGGTCATCCAAGTCAGGTATGAAAACAAGCCGTTCACTCTTAGGCCCAGAGTTAACAGCCGTTAAAGCCTCAATGAATTACTTTAGGAATAATGCCTGTTTTCAGCATAGTCTACCTCATCTTTCTAGTCTCACCAAAGATAACTGTTCCAAGACAACCATTCCTTCACCTGTGGCCAACAGGAGGCCAAGAGGGTACTGGAGCGGGTCTAGGGTAGGGGTGAGATAATAAAATAGACACAGTAGATGCAGATTAGCAAGCAAAACAGTTTTTTTCAGACCCAATTTCATGATTAATATTTAAAGGAAGAGGATCTATCCACATTTGCTGCTGCTTATAATATGTTTTCCATCCAAATTCCTTGTTCTTGATGCACCTAGTTTAGCAGGTAACACCCCCTCCTTATAATGTAATGATAATATTTTCCACTGAAAAATAAGAGCGGAGGTTATTGGAAGTCTAGAAGATGCTCCATGTCTTTGTCGATGGAAGGCTTCTGTCATTTCATCCCAACTGTCAAATTCCCTGTAGATGATCAGGTCCACTTGGGGTAGCCCACGATGCACCAGATCCAGATATCCGAGAAACCTGAACGACAGGCTTTTACGAAACTCCACAGCTGACGGGAGAGCTCTGCTTCATTTTCTACAAAGCCGCCTTTCCAGCACATGTCCAGAGTTTTGATTGACACTTCTCCAAGCTTATATCTTTCCTAAATGACGTTCTTTTGGTATTATAAATTAATCCTTTATTAACTCAATACAAATAAATGTGTTTACTGTTTCTAAGCTTTTAGTATAAAACTTAAGTCCTACAAATACTACAGGAGAAATGTGGTAGGCATATAAAAAGAAAACAAACTTCCAACCATACATCACCAAGTGACTAGATTCTGCTCTATCCTTCCCTGGCATCTTCATTCAATGACAAGACCATGGAATTTAGTCTTTTCATTTTTCACCCTCTAAAATCTTTTTTCTAGGGGCTGGGGCTGGGGTTCAGTGTCAGAGCACTTGCCTGGCATGTGTGAGGCACTGCATATAAATAAATAGAAAATAAAGGTACATCAATAACTAAAAACTATTTTTATTTTATTAATTTCAATTGATAAATCAAAGGGGGCTGAAATAATCTTAGTTCTGGAGTAAGCAACAGCAATTTCTTGGTGCCCTGTCATTCCCAGGCTGAACCTTCTATAAGAACAGCTATTAAGAAGTTGATTTAATGGAAGAAATTCCCAATGTTGACTAATTAAATTTAACATGTTGTAGTATGATTCAAAAATGTCAAATGTTGAAGTTGCTAAATATGAACAAGTGATTTATTTTTTATATTTAAAAATTCCGAAGTTTAATTTTTAAAAATCTTACAAATGTAAAGAAAAACGTCATAAGTTAAAAAAATAAAGAAAATATGTACAACCATACTGAACACATACTGTAAGTATTACATATATAGCATATGAACCAAATTCTTACCTTCATCATGAATTTCTGTAAGGACATAAGGAAAAGAGAAAAAAAAATAGTAAGTACGTATTATTTCAAATGCTTGTTTGAAAACATCTCATTTACCAAGACTCCATTTTTCTAAATGAAGCAATGTGAACAATAAAAATAAATAAATTTCATTGTTTTGCAACAAAACTTAGTATCAACTACATGCTAGAGGAAAGCTGCAGCAAGCAAAAACTCTTAAAAGTGTTTTTACATTAGTTCTTCCATTTTCTGTGAAAACATGCCACTTGACTAAAATGCATTATTCAATTGACAAGATATCTAAGCACCAAGAAAGAGGTATAATCTTAATTTATCCTCTGAAAATACTTAATAAATAAACCTTTTGTTTTATTCTTTGCATATAAATGCAGTGATATAAATAGCAACACAACTAACTTTGGTAAAAACAGATTAGAAGCAGGTAAGGTGTATTTAAACTACTGTGCTGCAAGGAGCTGAGCACCCTTCATGCAAAACAGGCAGCAATTCCATCCACAGGACGTGGGAGGGAACCTAAAAGAGGATCATAGAAATGTTCCTTTCTTTCCCTTAAAATGACACTCTCCTCTCATGCATTAGAAGAGTTCTTTTTTCTCTATAAAACATTAAGTATATACATCCTCCTTCATTTTTCACTAGATTCCCTCAAGTTTCCTGGACTTATTGCTGGAAAGATACAGAAATAAAAGAGGAGGGAAAATAATGCCACATTTCCAAACTAACTCTAGCCTTTGGAACATAATGGAAATCCCAGAGCAAAAGGACATACATCTCCACGTTAGTTTCAAAGAAATCAGCACAAGAAAGATTCCTAATATACATAATGATAGGTATTACACTATTTTCCTGAAAATTACAGACAAGTAATACCTATGGAAATTCCTTCGAGACTGATGGTTTTTATTATAAAGGACAACCGTAAAGAACCTTCTCACTCAGTTTTAAAAAGATAGCCTGTTCAATTACATATTTTGTAACTAATATTAATGATGAATGACATCAGGAAATTTATTTTCCATGTCAAAACTGACTAATCAAAAGCCTATGTGATTCGCTAATAATGGAAATATAATTAAATTCAGAATTGGGAAAAAGCATTTTTAAACCTTTATTCAAAGAAACAAAATCCAACATACATGGTATATCACAGATTTCTTCATGAGATTTTTTAATTGAGTGAGATTTGGGGTACTTTTCTTTAAAACATGCTTTCAGTCTGATTTTGACAGTTAAAAGTAGAAAAAGAATGATCAATAGAATAACTGAGGCCTGCTCCTCAAAATTTCTAAGTAGTGTTTGCAGGAAAAATAAAATGAGAAAATCTGCATATGCAATAAGATGGAATGAATAATGCAAATTAGCAAAGCTAAAATATCCATCTGTACATATACCTATAATTTCTAAAAGATAACCAAGAGCATGGAAGATTATTTGCAACAGTATTAACATTAACTTTTTGTGCAAATCTCTAATTGGTCAATTTGGCTTAAGTTCCAGATATCAAAGTTAGAGCATTATGAGATTTTCCAAGAGATTGTTCAAGGGCAAAGAATAAATCAAAGTCCATTAAAACAAGGAAGATGAATATATTATTTTAATCTCAATGTAAACACTGCCTAAAGATGATGAAAAGCATCAAACAAGAAAAGAATAACCATAAAAACACTCTTTCAAAGTAAATGACATCATGAGGAGAGAAAAGAAACTCAGAATAATCAATAGTGAAGAAAGTAGACTCTTCAGGTGTAGAGAATATCACTTTCTGGTTTGCAATAAATTAATTTGACTTATTTCACTAGGGAAGAGCTAAAATCTCATTAGGCAAACTGGAGCAGGGGTGACGACAGCTTGAGTTCTGACCTGCTTTTTGCCTTAGAAGAAATTTTTGGATGATGATCAATTTGCAGACAAACACAAAGTAGGGGCAGGGGGTGGGGGGTTCTTTAGGGTAAAAGTACAAACAGTAAATCAGGGTCCCAGGCTGTTTAATTACTGCAGAACTGACAGGTCAAATGAAGCTCCAAATATGATCATGAGCCAGGGGCAAAGCCACCTATGCAGCACCTAAACACGAAAACCAGGAGAAGAAACTACTAATGGTACATCTTAACACCAACAGAGAATTGGGAGTCAAGTGGATGGCAAAAAGCAGAACTGTCCTTGGTATATAAGCTCACTCAGTACAGATCTAAAAGACCCAAGGCATCTTAGCAAATACAAAGAGTTAAGAGCAGAAAAGCAAGTTGAACAGCAATATTTGACTCTGAACTTTACTGACAAATATTAGACACTTATAAGATGAACAATTAGATTCAATCCCTTAACAGTGCAAAGAAATAAACAATATAGCAAAGGTCCTCTATCAAATGATACCTTTCAGTGTGTGACCTTGATCTTGTTTTTTAAGCCAGTATTTCAGTTTAATGAAATGAAACACAAAATGCTTTTACATAAGGACCTATGTGAGAACTTTTAAATAAGCTTTAGCTAAAATAGCACCTCAAAAAGTATAGAGATGAGGAATTAGCAACAAAGTAACAAACAGTAGGGGTCACTAAAAGGAATTACCAAGTGCTATAATCAGAGAATAGGTCAAAACATAGTGCAGGTCCTCTCTAATATGAACTTCCACCCAGAAGGTGGCGTGTGGGGCTCTGCTCACAGAACAAAGAGAAGCCTTTCTGCCCTCCTAGTTCCAGGTAGGTAGGGTGCTAGAAGACGTTAGGAGCCTCATAACCCTCCAACCGCCAACTCTTTTATGAGTGAGAAAGAAATCTGTTGCTTCACTATGTTGAGAGAATGAGAAGTTGTTAAAACACCAAATACTTGGGTTTATAGGTGGTGATGTTTAATTACGGATACTCCCAGTAATTGTAGGAGACAAAAGTAATCTAGCATGAACAATCCCAAGTTCTAAACATATATCAATATACACTAATAGCATACGTAGTTATATATTTGTGAAACTATTACCCTTATGATGATGATATCCTATGTCAGTGTTTAACTTCCTATGGTTCCCCCACTGAAAATATCCAAGACTGGACTGATGAGACAGACTTAGCGACTGCACATTCACAAACTATCAGGACAGGACTTAGCTTTCAATATAGGGCCAGGGTTGGGGCTCAATAGCAGAGCACTTGCCTCGCACGTATGAGACACTGGGTTCCATCTTTAGCACCACATAAAAATAAATAAAATAAAGGTATTGTGTCCATCTACAACTAAAGAAAAAAAAATATTTTTTTTAAGTAATACACAGGGCCAGGGTTGTGGCTCAGTGTCTAGTAGAGCGCTTGCCTATTATGCATGAGGCACTGGGTTCGATCCCCAGCACCATATAAAAAAAATAAAGGCATTATGTCGATCTAAAACTCAATAAATAAATAAATAAAAGGAAGTACTTATACATATAATTCCTATTGAAATGCTCTCATGCCACTCATGTTGATGGCTCCTATGAACATGGTCTTGTGTCACTGGCATCTGGTAAACATGCACGTAGATATGTTTAAAAAGAACATTATATATCTTTGGCAGATTTGTGGCAAATGTTCTTTTTCAACCTTTCAATCACTCTACAGACAGCTTGTAAATGGACCATCTTTCCTTTGGGGTGTAATGGATTTCTCCTTCCTTCTCTCCCTCCCCCTCCCCCCCTCTCCTCTCCCCCTCCCACCCTCCCCCTCTCACCCCACACACAATCTAGTCCTTCTTTAGAAGGATAAAGGAAAATAAATGATTCTGAAAGCTACTCTAAGTCCTGACATTTTATCTCTGTGACAAATGTTTATGTATCACAGAGCTCATAAATAAAGCTCTTCTTTACCAAGCTTGCCTCAAAAGAGAATTTCCCTAAGTTAAAAACAAAGTGAGCTCTGCAGAGGATAGTGGATAATAATAACCTAAAGATACCTGAAGCCTACCCTATATGTATACAAATAAAAAGTCATCTGTATCAGGATTTAGAAGATTCTGTATTTTCTTCCAATCCACTTTAAACATGAATGCATTCCATTTTTTTGGTAACATGAAAGCATTTCAAAAACCCTCACATAATAATAGCTGTGTGTAAAAAGGCACGTTTTAAAATAATTACTGTGTTAGGAACATTTTAATTGATTACATATCTTAACAATTACAACATCAAGATATTTCTCTTAAAAAATAAAAATATAAGACATCATTTGGTTATAAACAAGGTTTTATATACAGCAATTTCCCAGGCTGTTCCATTCTTTTACTATCCCCAACCATGACCCGAAATCCTAGGCCTCTGTATTGCAAACCAGTGGCATCACTTAGGGAGGGGCTGGGGAGAACAGCCAGAAAGATCAGTTAATTACCTTCTAAGCAGGACTCAGATTCTCTTTTAAAGTATGAAAAGCAGCATTTCATCTCTCAGTGAGTTTTTGTTTAAGCACAGGTGCACAGATGCCCCAAAGAGACTGAGGAAGAGGAAGAGGATGAGACTGAGGGAGGAAGGGAATGAAGGATCGAGAAAGAGGGAGAGAGAAGATGAGGGAGGGGCAGAGGCATAGAGATTTATTGGCCTTTGACAAAGCTATCCAGAATAGCACTATCAGAAAACTGATCAAGAAGTCATTTCAATTTCCATATATATTTAAGTTTATGAAGTTCCTAAAGGTCTTGATGTGCAGTTGTTCAACATAGTCCACACAAGTAAATTTAACACCTGTCCCAGAACAAAAAAATGGCAAATACTAGTGCAATGCTATAACACCCATCAAGGACACCAAGGGCGGTGGCTGGGGATCCACCCGCAGACCCTACCTCATCTGCTGCTCCTAGCGGACAACCTACCTCTGAGCTGTCAGCAGCTTGAGTGTCTTGAAGAGAGCTGCTGGAAGGCCAAGAATCCTCCTCCCCTCCCGAGATTTCCATCACCCCTTGCCCAGTGAAAGTGTCTTCAGGGGCAGGGCATGGAATAATTAGAGAGAGAGAGGCTGGAGGCTCCCACTGCTGGCACAGGCTCTGCTGGGGAGACAATGCCAACAAGCCAATGTGGGAGGCCCTGGAGAGAGCCAACCTGGGATGTTCCTAGGACACCAAGAGCTCTTGGGAGGAAGAAGCGAGAAGACGAGCATTTGTCTATAGCTCCAGAACTGCAGGCCAGGCATTCCAGTGACAAGTAGCTCCCCCAGACACCTGCCCAGTGCCTGCGGAGGAAGACAGCTTTGAATACCTGGCTAGCCCCATATATGACACTGTGGCCAGAAGAGTGTTATCCTGCCAACCTCCTCATTGCTCCTTCCTACTGCATCTGAAGAGGGCAGAAGCCTGGCACAGAGTGGGGGCCTGTGGCACCTGGCAGGGGAGGTGAGAAACCGCTTCCCACAGGTCTTGCCTCCAGGCCTCCTCACTGGAGCACCTGAGCTGTCCCAGCGGGCTTCACTTGCATGGGATGGAGCACTGTGATCACTTAAGTAAGACTTGTGTGCCTGAGACCACTGTGGGGCGTTTTACTCTCTGAATATGAGAAAGGTTGTGGTACCTGCTTCAGCATAACCCAAGGGACAGACCAGATTGTTGCCCTTCCAGGTCAGGCTGCTACAGGACAATTTCAAGCTTCTACTTGGACAAAGCCTAAGGTTCAAACAGACCCTCAAAGGGAGCAGTAGCTCCCATCTGAAATTTATTAACACCTGTCTATAGAATGTGCATCAGTGTTCTGAGACAGACCTGGCAGAGCTTCTGGTTTTATGGTATGTAAATGAACAGACATTTCAGCATCACTGTATTTTATCACCAATATGACGGTAATATTTAAGAATAAAAAAGGATTCTAATCACGTAGAGGAGGAGATTCTGGCCTATAGAGGAGGAGATTCTGGCCCACAAAGGTTGGCCTACATAAGGCTACAACACAGGGCACTGGCAAAGCTCAGCCTGGTGATGTCAGCTCAATGACATCTCCATCACCTTCTTAGAACTAGAAGGTACTCCCTAATGAAAAACTTACAAATAAACTTAATAAAATTAAATTTTAAGATGAGAGATTATTACGGAAATAAGAGGGAAAAACAACAGATCAATAACTGGTGCGGAGAGGAACAGGAGTAACCTCGTGCAATGATAGTCGTGTCACAATTTGCCTGTAGGTTCCATTTCCAGGAGAACATAAAGTGACTTGAGTGGTTCATCAAGAAACACTGCCCTGGATCCAGCACAGAAACACACAGTGGAAGGGACCAGATGGAGAGAGACAGAGGTGCTTTAGGATGCTGGGCTCAAGGTACACACCATACACAGGTGGCACAGCTCATCTTAGGGGAAAGGGGCTTTTATTACCAAGACAACAATGAGGAACAGTGTGGATCAGAATCTTAACTCTAGACTCAGAGGAAAGTACAGAACTTCACAAAGAAAGAGCTGAGGAAAGCAGTAGTAGCTTAGTGCTGAAGGAACAGGATGATCCTTAGGAAGACAGCATAAAAGAGGCAGTTCTCAAAGATCAATCTGGTACCACTACCACGGAAAAGGTAAATTTAAAAGCAAAAGTTCCTAACCATAAAGGGCTGAAAGATGAGACACAAAGAATTGCAGAAAGCAAGGTGACCATGAAGTTGTTTGGGGATGACAAGGCCCTGGAGGGCCATTGAGAACTAGGAAGACCCTGCAAACAAGAGAACTGGGTTCCTAGGACCAGAGGGCACAAAAAGCAAACACTCAGCCATCAGCTCAGCCAGCCTCCAAGGAGCCAGGTCTGACATCACAGAGCAGACTCCAGCCAGTAGGAGCCTAGCTGCTTGGCACTCTTGGTGGGAAGTGGGGCGGGGACAAGAGCCCCGTGAGATACTAACCTCTAGAACGATGGGTGGAGGAGCCAGGAAAGACTGACTCACTCAGCTTCTCCTAGCAGATGAGGACACTGACACTCAGGGCAGTAACGTAACTTGCTCACATCACACACCTTGACCACAGGGCTCCGAGACGCAGCCTCCAAAGTCCCAGCTGCATTTTCCACAGGACACAGCTCTCACCTTCACTTGTTAATATTACAGAAATATACTGAGCTTCCTTTTTCTATAGTACAGGGGACAATTTAAGAGCTAAGCCAGATTGAGATTAAGCAGCCAAGTCTTTGGCAAAAGACAGTGTTAATAACGAAACCTTTCGTGTTGGACAGAAGTACATAGACCCTCGTGTAAGTAAAGCCAATCCTACACGCGCTTTGTAGCTCTGTGGATGCACAGTGTGTTCACAGAACCCATCTCCCATGAAGCAAAACCTGAAGCGAGTCAGAGCCTGACAGCACCCCTGGGAAGGGTCTGCTCACCAGAGCAGGTAGTGCGAACAGACAGGACAAGCCACACTAGAAGCAAAATAAAAGGGTTAGAGGCAACAGCAGACATGCACTTTCCATCCCAGCTCCTTTGTAAATACAGGAAACACATACCCATTTTTCCACATCAACTTGCTGTGGAAAGAAAAAGCCAAAATAAATTTTTAAAAAACAAACAACAAACAAGTAAATACCTAGCAGTGTTGAACCACTGTCATTTAAATCAAATGAAATGTGGTCCCTGCACCAAAATCTACTTCCAAGTCTAAGAAACAGTATTCATACTTCTAATTAACATTTAATCTCATCAGACAGAAAAAGCTCAATGTAACCATCAGAACATCAGTAGGCATTAGGCAGCAACTACAACAGGTACATGAAATAATGATTCTCTAATGTTCAAAAACAAAAATTTATCCACTTCTCAAACATTCCAGGCCTCCTGTTTCAGTAGCAACTAAAAAAAAAAAAGTTAAAAAAAATCAATTTGGAGACAAAGCATCTAACTAAAATTTCTCTTATGACATTTAAAGTAAAATTCCTCTTACCTCATTCCTCATTCTTTTGAGGATTACATAAAATTGCCCATTATAAGAAAAAGGCATGTTTTGTCAAATCACTCCAACATCATATATGGGAATGAAATTATTTTTAAAGTTTTATTTAGTGATAAATGTTTTGGTCACATAATTATGTGATTTTCTGAAACACAAGTGACCACAATTACATCCAAAGTTTAAATAGAACAAAGACCGCTACAGCATCCCAGGATTCAGAGCAAATCAATTGGAATAGAAAATTCTATCACTGAGGGACAGTCTCAGTCTTAAAGTTTCCATAATTTGCGGCTTCTGTAGAATGTGTGGTTCGTGTCCTGTGAGAATTGAGATTTATTTCAGACTTTTCATGCCTAAGTTAAATTGTAATTTTTTTTCCTCAGAAAATTCATTAACAAGTAAGAGGCAAAAGCCACTGAGAGGGAAATCTTGGGCTAAAACTAGAAACCTCCATTCCTCGGAAGTGAATTCCTGGGAGGCCACATTCATTTACATTATAAAAAGATATTAAGGATATCAATCTAAATAAACAGGAAGATTTTTTTTAAGCCATGGTGAAATTCAATAGGTTACTTGCAAGAGTATTTTGGCTTCTCTTGTAATTTATTTAGTCTTCAGAAAAACCGGTTCTAAACTTACTCCTCTCCTCTGCATTTTAAAAACATACAGGTTTTATTGAAGAAGGAACACTACTGGAGGGAAAGGCCTGGCTTTCAGTGTGCAGTTTTCATTGTCATGGAAAGTTCCAGTTCTCACTCAAATATTAACCCATTCAAGTAATGAGTCCAATTCCCAAGCCCTGGGGGAAAAGGCAGTAGAGCAGCTTATCTAGTACAGTACAGGTGTCCTGTGTTTTTCCACCCTCCAAGGACAAGCGCTTACATTTATGTTCTTCCAAGGAAAACCGTTCAAGAAAGTTGTGAAATGATTTCCTTTCCATATTTTTCAGGAAAAGAGAATATGACATAGCTTTAATGACAGTGATAATTATCAAAAAACATCTCATGCCATCACGTTCATTTCTACATATTCAACATGTCAACACAAAGACAGGCACTGTGGAATGAACAAAAAAACTTGTCATCAGAGTCATTAACTATCACCAGCAATGGAAGCATTTTAATGACGTATATTACAGAAGAGAAACATAACACTTTAGAAAGCAAGGATGAGTAGTAATGACATAACAGGTCCCAGAGAGATGCCTAGCAACAGCATGGGCTGGGGTATATTATCAGCTAGACACATAGACGAGACAAACAGTCAGGGGTTCAGAGACTGACTGAAGGACGACAGAGGTGTAACTGCACATAAGCAAAGCAGAGCAATTTCATGACACGTCCTCCTATTGCTGTTAACAAGGTTCATTTGATTAAATCCCTGAAAACGGTAAGGAGAAGAGCCATTTATATGGAACCAATCAAGGAAGAGAAATATTAAACTCACAATGAACTTGACTTCACAATGAACTTAATTTTAGAATTATTACCAAATCCACAAAACATATAAAACAAATGAACATTTTCCCAGTAACTTATTATCTAACTATGTGGGGTTTTTAAGAAATACAGCAATTCCATTACTTAAGTAAATATAAATATTCTTATATCTGTAGGAAATTATATTAAATGTCTTCTTATATTAACACTAATAAAAAAGGCAACTTCATTTTTAAAATAAAAACAATATTTCCCTTAAAGGAAACAATAGTAATTTAAATGTTAACTTGATTAAGCAGAGGACATGAGAATTCAATACAATAGTAATTATTTATGGATTGTAGTTTATAGTTCTAAATTATATAATATAAAAGTTAATTCATAATCATTTATTTTGCATTCATATTTTAATTAAAAATTTAGAACACATAAACATGAATTATTCTATAACTTTAAAAAAGTTTTGTTGCTCCTTCCAAATAACTTTATTTTACTATTTAAGACAGTAATGATAATTTCATTATCATCAAATCTATATATCACATATTAAATACTTACAATAGTTATCCATGGGTAATATGTGCCAAGGCCCCCAGTATATGCCTAACACCCCAGAAAATACTAAATAATTACTGTTTTTCCCCTATATTCCCTGTAACATTGCTACATAGTACTAGTGTTAATGTGTCCTTCTGTATTTTACGCCTTGTGCCTCTTTTGCATATTAGCTTTGCACTCTGGGGCCATTATTAAGTAAAGTGAGGGCTAGCTAAACAGAAGTATCATGAGAGTCCATCTGATAACGAAGGTGGCCTTTCAATGACTATCAGGAGTGGAGCATAGACAGTATGGACATGCTGGATAAAAGAACAATTCATTTCTTAGACGGAACAGAGCAGGATGGTATGAGATTTTATCATGATACTCACAGAATTTAAAACTTACAAATTGTTTATTTCTGGCATTTTTTTCACTTAATATTTGTGAATTGTAGTTGACCACAGACAACTAAAACCACAGAAAGTAAAACCACAGATGAGAGGATAACTATACTGTGCACCAGTCTTTGAACTGTACAACTCATGATTTTGTTATCTACATTTCACATGTAAGGAAGCCAATGAAATACAAAGGTGTTACAAATCTTCCACAACAGAAAGTCACGTGTTACTAAATAGTGGAGATGAACTTGCAGTTGAATATCTATCTAACTCAATGGTCAAGGTGTAACACTCTTTTCTCTTTTGTTTCATACTTTCAATCTGTGTTGAATTCAGAATTGCCAAACAGCTGATTCCTTATGATAGGTAGGTATCACCTAATAGAATATGTTCACAAAAACATAACATCAAGAGAATAGCACAACACACTAGAGATTCTCACAACATCAAGTACATGAGCTCTAGTTGTTCCACTAATGATACTGTTTTTATGTACATAAACATTTTAAGATAGTTATAAGAACAAGATATCAACTGTGAATTTACAGTTTTTGGTACTAACATGATACAAGAAAAAATAATATTTGATGAATGCCTATGATACATTCCCATTGTAATTTTTTAAACAGAGAAAACCAAACAAACTCTATTCTATAAATAACTACACATCGTACCTGTTATTTAATATTAAAAATGGGGGAAGAGGGGTAAGAATTGAAAATTCTGTGTTCCAGGGGACTCAAAATATAATGAAGTCATTTAGAAATTTTTAAATTCTGATTTGAAAGGGCTACATTTTCACTGAACATAATAGGCACACAAAGATATAAAAATTATGATTGCATTGCTTGTTAAAATTTTACTAATAAGCCCATGCAATCAGCATCCAAATCTAAAAACAGAACAGAACTCATGATCCAGAAACCGCCATCACATTCTCCCCCAAGGTGACTGTGATTCTATCCCCCGCCAAGGTGACTGATTCCATCCCTCCCATCCCAACTTGTTTTGCATTTATTGATTTTTGGATAAAAGGCTACACTCTTGTATTTAGCTTCCTTAAAAGATTGTTAAGTTTGTGAAATTATTAAAAGTTATTTCTTACTTGCAGAGTATCCCATTGTATGAATACATCCCAACTTATTTATCCATTTAAATGTTGATAAATATTCAGGTTGACTCTTGAGGGTATGACAGATCATTTTGTGAAGAACACCACCATTTTGGTGAACACTTGGATACATTTCCACTGGGTATGCATGAAGAGTGGAATTACTGGGTTGTTTATAAACATTTGGCCACAGCACACACTGATGGTTTCCAGGAGGTCCTATGAACCCACACTCCCATCAGCAAAGAATGGCTTGCAGCTGCTCCAGGTCTTCCCCAACCAACACTTGGTATCACTGGTACCTTGAGCTTCTGCTGTCCTGGGTGTGCAAGGAGGCCCCAACACAGCTCTGTCTTCATGTGTCCAACACCCACTGGATGAAGCTCCTCTTCATCTCTCTTTATACCTCTGAGCATCCACCCTCAGGAAGTGTTTAAGTTTTACTGTTTTCTCTATCAGGCCATCTATCTTCCCTTATCTGGATTTGTTGGAGCACTTGTATTTTCAAGCATGGATCCTCTGTCATATATATGCAATGCTAATGTATGCTCCAGCAGGGATACCACCTTCTCAGCCTCCCACCAGCAATTTTGATAAACAGACCATCTTAAGTAGGATACAATTTATTAATCTTTTCCTTCATTACTGTGGCATTTTCTCAGGAAGTTTCTCCTACATCATCTTCTAGAAAGGTCATTGTTTTACCTTTCACCTGAGAGCTACAATTCACATGATATTGATCTGTGTGTGTGTGTTGGTAGGGAGGTTCCAAGGGTAATCTCTCCATCCAGGGTAGCTGTCCAGCAGACCCCAAACCCATTCCAGAATGAGGATCTATTGCCCTGCAAGGTCAACTACTAATGTGTCAAGAAGTGAACTCAAGGGTCTCCTTCAGAACTCATTTTTATCAGGGCCTATTTTTCTATCTCTGTGCTAACAAACTGTCTTAATTATTATAACATTAAAAGAAATCTCAACATCTGGTAGACAAAGACTCCCAATTTGTTCAACATTATATTTGGAATATACCGTTCTTCATTTCCTGTAATGCCCACAATTTTCACACAAGAGAAAGATCCCGAAATTT